GTCTGTACCATCCCCAACATTTGTTCTGTATCTTTACCGGAACAAAAGAATGTTGTATCATCAACAAATACACACCCAAAAAGATCCAACACATTTACCAAATCGTTCACATACAGAATAAATAACTTAGGTCTGAGAATGGAACCCTGCTGCACTCCAAATGAGATGTTACAAAATTCAGATCTTACATTATTTATTTGTACAAATTGTTTTCTTATCAACACCACTTAATAATTTCTATTTATATTTATTTATATTTCTATTATAATTTATTTTAAGGATGGTTTTGCAGGGAAACTAAATATTTATCATGGAGATAGCGTTTCCAACAGATGAYAAGTGAAACGTCTTCAACCACCAGTCTAGTTGTTTTAGTAACTTATTTATTTTAGATTTACCTGGAAGACCACCATCAATGATTATCACATCACTGATTCAATGCATCAAACCCGTTAAGAAGTGTGTACCATATGTGCAGAAGTGAAACCCAGAAACTGCACTGGAAAGTTCGATGTTTGTCTTGTGAATGTATCAAAATGTGYAAGAGTAACTTGTGTGTTTCAGGTGTTCACCACTGTGGCGCTGGTAGGAATGTTGATCATTCCTCTCAATGCTTTCCCTTGGGTGCTGAACGGCATTCTGGAGGCCAAAGTATCTGTGGAACGAATCCAGCGCTTRTTCAAACTGACCAATCAGGATCTGCAGGCACACTACACCCTGAGTAGGCTGATATCTTGTGATTGTCTGTGGTCAGGTGTCCAAAAGGCTTCTTTTACTTCCCGTTCATCAGTTGAGGAGAAACAGGTTTTATGTTTAGAGTAGTGTTGTGTTTTAAAGATTTAGTTAAAAATAACAAAAGGTTTGTGTACTTGTTTGTGTTTTTCTCCATCACAAAATGCATGTTCTGGACATTTTGTTGACTTGCTTTGTTGCAGTAAATGTTGTTCTGAGGAGTAATTTTCTCTGAAATTAGCATGAGCTAAAAAAATCCTGTCATCCTTTTCAGCATTTGAAGCATTCCCTGTTGATCTTTAATATGTTTCCATTGTGTTGAAACTTATCTGTTCAGTGTCTCATGAAGACYATCAGACATCTGTCCTTTTGAGCCAAGGGACCTTTTCTTGGGAAGGGGCCAACGGCAGTGAAGAGGGAGAGACAGGAAGTAGAGCTGCTAAAGGAAGCCTTCTGCTTCACAATCTGAACCTACATGTAACTAAGGTACACACTTTTATTTTCTGAAACATATTGTTCACRCACTGCTCCTTTGCTGTTGTTAAACTGATTTTTCATGTAGATCTTGAACAGCACGCCCGCTTTGTCTCTGCAAGACACAAGAATCAAAAATGCAGCAACAGACTCYGCATTCTCACAGAATGAAGTGGTTTTATGTGTTTACAATCTTAGTCATATCAAAAAGAAAGCATAAGTAGGTCCTCTGGATGGGTTCTTCTTTAGTGAAACATTTCGTCTCTCCTCCAAGAGACTTCTTCAGTCTGATGAGTTTCAGTTGAACTCAGCCTTATAAGCACCTCCTCTAGAACGCTGTTGTTGCAAGTATAACTCCACCCCCTGTGAGCAAAAGGTGTGAATCAGGGCCCCTATGATACCAACACAAAGAGGGAAAAAACGAAAACAAGGGGACTTTTAACACCCACTTGCATTCACTACATTCACATAACAAAACACCAAATAACCACATCTAAACCAATAAGTCAGGTGATGGGGCACATGACCCTCTATGAACAATAGAGCTAATCAAGCCTATTAGTCGATGGCCCTCTTTTGCATGTGACTAACCTGTTTGTCCAGGTGGAGGCGGAGCTTATAAGGCTGAGTTTCACATGAAACTCATCAGACTGAAGGTCTCTTGGAGGAGAGACGAAACATTTCACTAAAAAAGAACCCATCCAGAGGACCTACTTATTTATTCCTTTTGATTTATTTCTACCTGGATTACTGAGATGCATCAGGACCATCTTAGTCATACTTAAATTTTGACAAATTAGTGTTTGTTTTGAAGATTAAAAAGAAATATTGTATAAAAAAAACTAGGGATGGGCAATATGTTATCGTGTGCAATATACCCTCAAAGAAACTCATCATGGTAATAATTTGTCACATCYGGATAAAAACAATAACATTCTGGTTAATAAGCTGGTCTTTTTGAGTAAAAATCTAAATGTGTAATTAAAGCATATACAGATATTTCTCACAGCCTTAGTTCTGCATTCTTGCACAAAAAACATTTCAGTTTTTACGTTTGTTGGAATTTATTGAAGTTATTATTTTATTATCAGGTTGTATTTACAGTTGTACTA